AAAAAAAAAAAAATTAGGTCACAATAGTGGCAAACTAGTCATTGTTCCCTTATTACTTGAGGGGTTTGTTTTGGCTGAGGCATAATTTGGAAAAGAGAAAGAAGAGAGGAGAGAAAGAAGAAAGAAGAGGGAAAGAAGATTAGGGTTTTGAGGAAGGAGGAGGAGATCGGATCAGAACTGACGCCAGAGATCCGAGTCCCCAATCTAAACCGTCAATAGTCCGAGGCAAGGTGCTCTCACGAATCGCACCTTCCTATTTCATCAAAACGTCCAAGAACTTCAGGTTAGTCCACGAGTGTCTACATTGAGAAATCATCAAGATTTTGTGTGTTAGCAACGTTTTGTGTTGATCCTTGGACTCTTACCCTCAACAACGCTATCTGGTTAAGTTCTGGAGTGAAGGCGGCCAAGATTGGCGTTCGAATCGGAGTTTCAAGAAAATGTGATTTTCGGTAAGAACTCGTGTTTTTCTCCGAATTCGAACTTAAATAATAAGATCTGTGATTATCAGAAAAATATAAGAAAATTGTTTCGAAGGAGTAGAATATGAGATCTACAGGGTTTGTGAAGAAAATTTATCGAATCGGATTACGGATTCGAAGATAAAAAAATTGGAAGAAAATAGATTGAAACGTTGAAGAGACCTGGAGAACTAAAAAAAAACGCAGGAGGGTGGAGGCCGCCACGCGTCGGTCGGCGTGCAGAGGAAAGCGATGGAACTGGTGATCCACATGTGTCGATCACCGGTTGGTAAGGTGCGTTCTCACCCGGCAGCGGACACACGTCAGGTGCGCGGATCCAGCCGGCCTGACCCGTGCCGAGCACGAAGCGCTCGACCCGGCGCCTCTGACCAACGCCTGCTCGGGAAGCAGCACGTGGGCACGCGCACGTAGAAAGTTAGTGTAGTGACCCTCCAGGGCGCATGTGACACGCGTGGGGGTGCATGAGGCACCGTTTTTCTTCCCGTTCGGTCTCTGTTTGCTTGTTTTCCGACCGGATTTTAATGCTGACCCTATTATTATGTGAATTAGGACCTATGAAGGAAATTCCAGAATTGTTGGAATCCATTCCGTCAAGAAAACTCGAACTCGGGAAGGCACGCGTCAACTAAGTAAGTAGCCATTTGGATTCCCACAAGCAGTACTTGTAGGAACTGCTAGGAACGAGCATGCATGCTACCACCCATTAACTTAGCTAACCGGACCTAGTATATTAGTATGGGAACTGCGAAAATGATATGATTAAGGAAAGCTAGTTATTAAATGTTTATTAAATCTGTTTGATAGAGAATCTGATAAAGTATGTATGTATGAGGAGGATGGGAAACTTGTGAAATCTGCGCTCCGAGTAAAGATGGACGTTATCTTCCCGTTGAGCATGTTTGTTAATATTGCATGAACTGCTGCGTGTAAACTCTTATGCATGATGATTGCTTGTATTATCTTTCTTGATGAATAGGAAGAAATTATGAGCTTAGATTAGGGTGCTTGTGACTAAGTAGGCTAGACGAGACCCTAGTTTAGGGGACATCTAGAATACCGTGCAATTAGACCCGCAAAATGATTATCGGCGGATCCAGAGCCTAGAATTCCAAACCCGATAGGTTTGTGAGACTAGGCACGAGAATCCTAGAGATACACGAATCTAAGTCTAAGCCACTAGGTTCCACCCTAGAAAGAATAATATGTCACCACGGTAACTGTAGGTAGCCCGCTTGAGTTGAGTAGTGTAGATAGTGTCATCAGAATCTCCACTTCCCTCTCTCCTCCGATATCGTACCTCGAGACAGAGCTCCGGTACGGTGATCGTTGAGGTTAGCAGATCAGGATAGGGAAGTGTGACAGGTGCCAAGACTTAGTGGTGATAGCCAAGGGGTCTTCTGAAAAGGACTCCTGGGCCGTAGAAACCCGTCCCTGAGCGTGGGACGTGGAGCCACATAGGATGACTCAGTAGCTGACCGGCACACAGGGGGTCGCACCCCGTTTAATGGATGTATGGTCCCGTGTGAGGGTCGTCAGTTAACCTCCATGGATGATGTTCAGAGACAGTCACATTTTCAGATCCAGCCATACACTCAGGACACTGATCATTTTGGTGCTTAAGATGGGCAAGCGTCCTAAGATACAGAAAAGAGAGTTGCAGCTTAGATCACTCTTCTTAGAAACCCGAGAAAGATCGTGGTTACCCACCAAGATAAGGATGCGAAAAGAGCCTACAAGTAGGCTACTTACTGAGTATTTTTATATTCATTCCTTTCTACTCTTTTTTTTTCAGGTGAGTGATGCCATGGATCAAGGCGGGAATGCATGTTGAATCTTAATGCCACAGAGGAGTGTCCCGAGGCGTCTAGGAGTCTGTGCATAATTTTGTTTAGATTTGTCATGCATTGTTTTGTAAACCATTTACATACTTTTCATACTTGAACACCTTGTTTTGGATTTTAAACCTTTTATATAATTGATAAAGTTTGTTTTTGTAATCTCGTCTTCTCTATTTGTTTTTACACGATTTCATTGCATAGTCTGTTGGTCCAGCCCTTGATTTCGAGATTCAAATTTTGGGCTGTGACAGAGAAGTTGTTGTTGGTGCATCGTCGATTAGGGTTTTAGGGTGTTGCGGGTTTGGAAGACGAGCAGCGGATCAGGTCGGATACCCGCGGACACAACTCCTGCTTCCAGACCTCAGGCCGTATGAAGACACGGGCTGTAATTGCTTTCGGCCCAAACAGGATTTGCATTCATTTTGGCTCAACTTAGACACACGCCTGTAGTGCATTTTCTCGGCTTCGCACGTATATACATGGCTCAACTCCTCCATCGGACTTCCTCAGCTTGACGGCAGCTTGGCTTGTCAGCTCGGTATACCCACAATATACCGATTTCTAGGTTTACGGCCCTTTCAAAGTCGTTTCTGCCCTTGTTTTTGCATTCTAAGGTTAATATGACTCTTAATAGTCAACTTAAATTATGTTAGGTGTTTACCTTGATAACTAACATGAGGTTTAGCTAGGATATGTTATGAAAGATTCCTAAATATGTTATGTGGTTCTTATAGGACGTAATTAACAGTTGGAATTAACTTGTTGTGAGTGACTTTGGCCAAGGCCATCGAGGTAAGTGACTTTACTATTGGAGTTAGTTAATTATGTGTTGTATGATGATGCGTGCTCTGTGGCCCCTGCATGCACCATATTATATGTGATATGACTATGTGACACATGAATTAGATTGACGGGTGATGTTATGAAAATTTATGATTGATATGTTAGTACTATATGCCATGAAAGTGATGATTATTGCATGTATGCACGTAATATAACTGAATTATGTCATGAAATGCTTATGAAATTGAAACGTATTTTCATATTAAGTAATATGCCATGTAAGGTAAGTTATGAGACCTCATGCATGTTTATATGTCATTTGCATTGGGATACTTTCTCTTTATGTCATGAAAGAATGAAATTCGATATTTATGTTCTCCATGATATCATGTGAGACTTTTCTGTTCTGTGGTGTCTAGTGACGTATAATACGTTGTGCCCGACCAAGCCAGGCCTAGGGGTACGTATACGAGCCCACTTGGTGGGTTCATGTGCGCGTACATGGGCCTCGTGTGGAGAAATACCACACATCCAACCCTACCCAGAATAGAAAAGCACCCAAGGCAAGTTTACAAAAGTTAGGTCCCACTCATATGTTGCATGTGTTTGCATTTCTAACCCCAATAGTGGGATGACTTACTAGTATTTCATAAAATACTCAAGTCACGTGCTACCTTCATTTTTCAGGTAAAGGCAAGGCGCCGATGTATGGCTGACGATGGAGCTGAGGTTACCATGAAAGACTAAAGAGAGGGTATAGTTACCCGTTTATGTTTTTATTTAGGTTTTTAAGTTAGATCATTGAACATTCATTTTATTTAAATTTCCTAATTCAGTTATTGAATGTTTTCATTTCGGAGTTATCTTTAGTTCAGATTTTGAACCTTTATGTAAGACTGATGTTGTTTCCAAGACTATTTATGTTGAATTTTTCGTTTAAAGATCTATGCATGTACGGATGACGTCACTAATTAGGTTAAGAAAATTAGAGGCGTTACAAAGTACCTTTTCTTACTGTTGGAGATCGGTTTTATTGGTCCACATATATCAACATGTATTGATTGAAGCACTTGTGAAGCTCTCCACGTGCTTTGCTTTGGAAAAGATCCTCTTTGTTGTTTTCTTGTTAAGCAGTCCTTGCAAAGCCTTAAGGAGAATTAAGTTCAGGTAATCCATTCACCTTCTTTCTTTTTTCCGTGGTTTCAAACCATCAAAGCTCAGGTGCTGGTCGCTTGTGGATGTATATAATAAAATGATGTAAAATTCACAAGAATAAGTGCAAGTATACACTATCACAAGTAGCAAGTAATAAGTAAATTATCGATTCCACAGGAAACCTATCCTTTTGGTTAATTTTATCGTTGAAAATTAAATGAGTTTTTGGGTAACATTCAAATGGGTGTTGGTGATTTTAACTACTTAAACAAAACTAAAACAGAGTGCCACTACTGTTGAAAAACAGAAAATGATGAGAAAATCAAGAAGAAGGTTCGGCTAAGAGAGGTTAAATAGATAAGTTGTTGAGTTTTGTGATAGATTTTAGTTTCTTTTAATAGATTCCCAAGCTCACTTCCAAGGGTCATGAATGGTGATTATTTACATAATGGTTGTAATTTCTATTAACAATGCTCTAGGAGAAGAATTATTCTTAACCCTTCTGTTACCCTTCAAGTCTCATTACTATGGAACTAGAGTATTAAAGAGGATTTCATTGCTCCCTCTCTTCTCCCGAATAAGAGAACAACTATGTATGTAAAGTAGCTAATTAAACACACATGTAAATCATTAACAACAACTCTTTAATAAACTAAAATCATACCGTCAACATACTTAAACTATATAAAACTCTCTCGCCTCCCCTATAAAGTTTAGCTCTCCATAATAACTAAATTAAAAAGAGGAACCAACATCTTAATCATATAAAATTGATAGAATAAGAAAAGAGAGTAAGGAAATAGAGACTTATCCAACTTTGTTGTCGTTCTTCAATGGGAGTTCCCTTCCCTTGAGCTCTCACATCCACCTCATTGTCCTAATCTATCCTTCTTGGTCTTCTCTTCCTCCTGCTGTCAACCGTTGCTGGATTAGGGTTTTTCTTCTTCCTCTCTGGTTACACAGTAGTTCACAGCAGTAGAGGGACTGCTGTCTAATCTGATTTTTTTCTCGTAAAGTTTGTCACCCTCCTCTTGGTCTTCTTTTTACTTTTATATTGAGCATGGGTTCCCCCTTAGGTTGAAAAGGAATAAGTTGTCCACATAGGATGGTAGTCAATGACCCGAACCCATAGGTTGAAAAGGAATAAGTTGTCCACATAGGATGGTAGTCAATGACCCACTTGGATGGCAGATGTGAATTTAAAATTTCCATGTCATCCCCGTTTGTTTTCAAATTTGCTACTCTCTCATGGTTCAACATAAATGTATGAAATTTTACCACATAACTCAATTAAATGTACAATTAAGATCGATTTATGTCAAATCATATTTTTTTTCATGTTGGACCGCAATAAACGATTTCATGCTCACTAAGTAGAATCAATGGGGTAATAAATGAGAAAATGGTGAATAAGAGTGCAATATTAACTACAAAAAGACTAGATATGACTACTTTTAGAGAGTTATCAGGTGCCTATATCTACAATGCCAAAGCTGCACTTTGTCCTCAGTGATTAAGTTGAAGCACACTGACGGTAGAGGTTGAAATGTTGCTTGAAGTATGAACATTCGATTCTCAGACATCTTTGTATCTATGATTAAACCCTTCTCATGATGAAATGCCTTACACCTTCCATATTGAAACGTAACAGCAAGTCCCCGTTTTTGCAATTGTCCAATGCTCAACAAGTTGTTTGTCAATTCTATAACATAGAACACTTCTATAATAATATGCGTTGTTCCATTCACTTGCAGCCTTATGTTGCCCTTTCCTAGTACAACCAAGCTTGTGTTGTTGCTGAGTTTTATTGAATCTCTGAAGTTTTGATTTAAATTTGAAAAATATTGTTTTAC